GATAGTGACGAAAGAGAGTTTTCAACTGTTACTTATTTCAGTTTTATTTTTTTTAGTAAATTTACGAAGCTGTTTTTGCCTTGTCATTATGGAGTATGGAGTGTAGATTGATGTGGGCAAAAAGTAATTTAAAGCAGTTTAACATAAGGTAGCAACATAAAACGTGAAGAAATTAATACTTTTGCAAGGCACTGTAGTTATGGCCTGTAGTCTACCAACAGGATTATACTATCCAAGCTGACCTCAGTAGCTGGTCAGAAAATATGAAAAAATGAATTTTCATTAAATTCTTCCTTCAAAGAGAGAGCATTTAAACAGAAGGAAATCACATTGGGCAGGTTTCCATGCACTTGCATGAATATCAATGTGTGCAGAGCAGGCTGACTGGAGGCTGATCAGATAGCAAAAACTTCCTATGCCAGCTTAAACAGAGCAGCAATACAGTGTCACAAAAAGAGAGGGAGTGCTTAAGACTAGTGAATAATTGGTATTAGCCTTTACATGAGCGAAACTGACTGCATCCTCCCTGTCTGTTAGGCCACATCCCAATGAGATAAAAGACACTCCATTAGTGTGGGTCATGACATATCGATCACTGGTCAGCAAACAGATGCATTTGTTCCTCATCCTCATACTAGCTGATGAAACTTCACAGCTTAAGTACCATATCCTTCAACACAGATTGTAGACTGTTTTATGCCAGACTGAGAACATCTTGAGTAATAAAAGCGATGTAATGACTACAATGACAACATGACTACGAATTCATATTGCTATTTTTAGAACACAATAATTTGTTCCCAAAGAGTTGAAGTGAAAAATACTTATTTTCTTTATTGACAGCCATTCAGATGTGGCTTGCAAAAAATCATCACATTCAAATCATCAAAATCTCACATTTTTACTGTTATTTATAATTGACAACAAAAAAATATTTTTTTCATGGCACCTAAAAGGTTTTAGATCTATACATACTCATTACTTCACGCAAATTAAGATGCCCATTAGAGACACCAAAGAGGTGGGCATGGGCCCTGTCAAAGAAACAGTCATGTGACCCATCAAAACAGTGGGCATCTGAGGGAGGCAGCCACCGAGCAGGGAATTGCTGTATCAAATGAAGTCTGAGACATCATTATACAATATGCCATGTGATAAAACAGTGGCCTTACCTTGGCAGAGGCTGTCAAATTAAATGTAACTCAGCAAATCTGAAAAGGTCGACTATAGTATAAATTCAGTTACAGTATATTGAACATGAACAGCATTTTTTCCCCAAAGGCTAAATCTGTAGGCTATGCAGTACAACAATAACAGAAAATGGCATAACTGTATACATTAGTGCAGTAAGTACCTGCTTCACAATTCTTACAGTATCATTTATAGTACTGGCTCGTTTTTTACTGTCAGAATTTGCACAAAATCTCATGGCAAGTTCACTGATCTTGATAACACACTGGATAGATATTACAAGGATTATAAAACATAAAAAGTTTGATAAACCTGTTCATTAAGACTTTTTGCAAGCAACACCTGAATGTCTGTCAGCAGAAAAAGATGCTGTATGGATATGGACAGTATACAATCCTACTGCTTTAAAGGGGTCCTATTATGCTTTTTAAATTTTTGAATTTTAGTCAGTGTGTAGTGTGTATGTTTTGGCATAAAAAAAGATCTACAAAGTTACAAATCTCAAAGTCCACTCCAAACGATATATCGTTTTTAAAAAATCATTTTCAAGAACTACAACGAACGGCTCATTTGGACTACAGCGTTTGTTTTCCGGGTTTTGTGATGTCACAGAGCGGCCCATTGGAATATCGTTAAAATAATTCCAATTCCCGCCTCCAGAAATTCAAATGGTTGGGGAGTGGGGAGGGGCGAGGTCGTGGTTAGAACACTTGGTTGCGTGCATCAGGCAAGACGACGACGAAGTGCTTCATGTTTTGTAGTAAAGTAATTCATAAATAACTATTAAAATTGACAGCAATGCATATTTAGAGTACCTTTTGAATTTCTGACTTTTTTAAATACATATTACCATGGCACTTATCTGTACATAGTAAATGCAGTTATTTTTCAGGGGGTGTGCCTGAAGCGTGAATCCGTATTCAGAAAGGCACAGAAAACAAATAACGTCTGCTAACGGTTGCCTGTTACATTACAGTACATAAAATTTCACTTACCACATAAACAGAGTACATAGGAGAGATAACTGAGGACGACGGCAAATGATTTGTAGATTCTGAGCACCACTGATAAAACATCTAATCTTGTAAAATGTGTGGTAAGTACTGCAGCTCCATATAAACAGAGTGCCATCGCAAATCTCAAAAGTGAAAGTGAAACAAAAAAGCGATTGTGCACTCAAAAGCAGTTTCAATGCCAGGCATAATAGCGGCTTCCCAATGCCCGTAATTTATATAGGCCTACAGTATAATTACCCAATGATATAACTGCGAGAGAAAGTATTAAAATATATATTTTCCTTCCATCTCATATTTATTCCCTTTAGGGGTTCGGGTTCCGTATACATGTCATTTTCTTTCCGAAAACGGTATTGGGATGCGGCGGATTGCAGGGTGGGGTGGGGGGTCACGATGCCGGCTCAACATTGTAACGTCTATCAGCCATCGCCGATGGACGATGCCATCGTCTATCGGCCCAACCCTAGTCACCACTCTAATATGTCTTGCAATATCCGTGCGTGAAAAGGTTCTGCGCGATCCTCTTGTTCAATATTCTCTGGGTCTGAAACCTGCTCAAATTGATATGGTAATATTGACACCATCCTTAACTATACCGGAGCAGACAGAACTTGCTGCTTTGGCAAGGGGCGGGGCAGTACTGAAACACCGTCTAAGCTGTTCACCAATCACAACACACTGGGACAGCTAACCAATCACAACACATTTTGTTTTTCGGAAGGCGGGCCTTCACAGAGGCGTAGCAATGGGGCAGGCAAGGCAGGCAAATACCTGGGGCCCCACATTTTAAGGGGGCCCCCGATGGCTGACCATTTAAACCAACAGGAATGTTAATATTAATAGCTATAACACGCAGCGACATCTCTCCATCCCCCCCCTATGGGGCCCACTCTCTCGATACACTGGTTATGCTTTTGCCTCCTCGGCCGCCTTTTTCAAACAGGTGCAGCGCGTCCTCGCGGTGCTGTAGATTAGAAAATGCATGATCTGGAGTGAAGCAGAACGCGGGACCCAAGCGTTTTAATCCATTCCTACGGAAGTTGAGCTTGCGCAACTTAAGAATGAACTGAAAAAAGTTTGCGCACACACACATAAACACACACGTTAAACATAAAGAAGAGGACAAATCTATCAGGCAGCCTGAAGCAAAAAAAAAAAAAAAAAGAGGAGGAAAAGAGGAAACAGGACAACGGTAAGCATAGGCACCCATTTAGGTTTCTGCCCACACTCTATTCCACTCCAAACCAAATACAAAACATTTTATTCATCATTGTTTCCATGAGCAAATGATAATGGGCTAGGTTGGCAACAACTGTGCCTTAAATATTTAAAAAAAATTTACAGCCTAATTAATTAAAAATTCTAAATATTTTTTTTCTCCATTAGATATTGTGCTTGAATTCATTAGGCTACACAAAAGATATTCGTGCCTCGCGAAGAGAAACGCACAGACTGCAAATACACTACTAAACAAAAAATAATTTTCATGAGCTTCACCGCAAGTCGTTCACTTGTTGATATACATACAATAATTCAATAAATACCTATTCAGAATAGGCACTTAATTCAAATAGCTATTAGGCTAAGTAATAAAATAAATAACGAGAATTCACTGGCCAAAATCAGCCTGGAAATGCTAACAAAGATCTGTAATTTTTTTTTACAATTGAAAGGTACTCTGTTATTTCATCAGTCAGTCATGGAATTCTGGTGGTTGATGGGCT